AAAGTGGTTTAGATGAGAGAGAGAGAGAGAGAGAGAGAGAGAGAGAGAGAGAGAGAGAGAGAGAGAGAGAGAGAGAGAGAGAGAGAGAGAGAGAGAGAGAAAAAAGAGGGGGGAAAAAGACAATATGTTTGAAAAAATATAATTAAGGCACTTAACAGAAAGAAAAAAAAAGACATCCAGATTGCATAGAAGTAAGAAAGAAAATGAAATGATTAAAAAAACGGAGAGAAACTTACGAATAAACGACGGGGAGGGTTGGGTACCCACACACACTCGCACATGTAGGAAGAAGAAATGAGAAATAATCCCCGGGGGTTGGGGGTGGGGGAGAGAAACAGAAACACACAAAGAGAGAAAGAAAGATATGAAGAAATATTTGTTTGTTTGTATGTCTTTACCGGTTGTGAACTCCTGCGAAAGTCCTGGTTGTTCGTCAATTTAGATTTTCGCTTTGTGCCAGATTCTGCGTTTTGCGTGTACATTCATTTTACTGGCTTATGTGTGCGTTGTAGATTGTTCTCTGCCTCTCGGGCAGACGTACATCGACTTCGAAGAAGACGTTGACCCAATCTCTGAGATGACTGGAGCCAGAAAGAATATAATACTAAAGCCATTATCTGGTCTCTTTTGTCTATCTTGTGAAGTTAAGTAATTCCTCGTTTTCTCGCCTTGGGGCTATTTCGGCGCAGTTGTTTGTTGTCTGGGGATAGGGAGGGAGGGGGGGCGGGGGAGGGGGGGGGGTTAGAAACAGAAAGAGAGAAAGGAAGATATAAAGAAATATTTGTTTATTGTTTGCGCTCACCGGCTGTAGACTTCGAAGGACACACCTAGTTGTTCGCCCATTACTAGACTTTATCCTTATTCCAGGACCTGAGTTTTGCATGTGCATCCGTTTTACAAATCGTGCTCATCAGTACGCAGACTTTCAGTACCTTGCCTCTCGGGTAGATACACCCCCAGTTACTCGACTCTTACGACATGCTTGATGTAGAGGCAGTGGGTCTACTTTTCTTTTCCCCACAATGGGACCCAGAATCCACACGGAGATTTGGGCGCAGTGACAGCGATGCAACTGGTAGCCAGTCAAATATTACAATCCTAGTTTAACTCATTTTCGGACAACGCATTTTGAATCTGGATCATCGGGTAATGTGTTCTCTTACACTTTAATTTTGGCCAGAGCATACGACGGAAATCAGGCTACGCAAGCGGCAGCATCCTTTGTGATTAGCCCTATGTAAGCTGTCATAATTTTTTGTTGGGCCCACTTGGGCATTAGCTAGTACATATTATGGTAGTGAAAGAGTTATGGCGATGATTTTGATAAATGACCTGAGCTTGAGCTTGGATCTAGACTAAAGATGTTCAAAGGAAACAAGGCGGGGGGGGGGGGGATATTGACCACATCGCCCATTGAATGCCTCATGGTCTGTACCAATATGGACGAGCACCATGTACCCAGGAAGGGTAATGGGTGGCAAAGAAGCTTTAGTATAATAAAGTAAATGCCTATAATACCACATTATTATCCCAAGTAACCCAATGTGGAAACCTACAAACGAAACTCACAGATTTGACAGTGAAGCACCCAGGCCAGGCAGATAACAAGCACGGAAGAGAACGATGACTGAGCAAGTAAGGGAAACTGTAATGACAGCCTTATGCCCGACAGTAATACAACAGAGCAGAAGGCATGGTACCAGGAAGGAGGGGCAGGGGCCGACCAGTACGAATATGGATATAAGTGACTCCTTGAATATGAAAGTACACGAGGTGGGAGAGCTGGCGGGAGACCCGAGTTTCTTTCAGGCAAATCACAAACAGGGAAGAAAGCGATGACAGAGCAAGTAAGGGTAGTCGTGGTGACGGCCTTGAGCCTGACAATACTACAACAGAATACTTTGTCAACAAGCTAAAGAGCTGAAACATTTTAGTCCTATCAAGCGCCATTGCGGATTGAAAAAATAATAATAGCAGAAGGCATGGTACCAGGAAAGAGGGGCAGGGGCCGATCAACACGAAGATGGGTACAGGGTATAGGTGACACCTTGTATATGAAAGTACATGATGTATGACCGAGGGCTGGCGAGAGAACGAGTTTCTTTCATGCAGCTCGTGATGAGAGCGACGTTCTGCAAAGGACCTGCTACTTGCTGATGATGATAAAATGCCAGTTACTAGATAATATAACTTTGGGGGTTGGACCAGCTGTCTGGAATTGTAAACTGTTGATTTTTAATTTTATGTTGCTACTTTTTAAGTCGCAGGAAGTGGTCTTTATCTTGTCTAGAGCTCATCACTTGTATCTACCCTGGGTAGTTTTTCCATCATTTAGTTTTGCCAGTCAGCAACACTGTTCCAACGCTTACAACGCTGGGTTCCTACGCAGGAGACCCGGATTCAAATCTTCTGTGAAACTGGAGACCTTTTTTTTGTCGGGGAAAAAATAAATCCTCACCTGCACAGTCGTGGCGACAGCAGTAGCCATGCGGCTATAAATCCTCAAGCCCAAAGAACCCGCATGCCTACACCGAAAAAGGGGTATAACACAGGCAGTAATTGGCAGTTTGGCCACACTGTTTCAGGAGCCATCATTTTGCAGCGGCTAGTTGCTCGCCTGCGGATGTGAAAGTCTTTGGTTCAGATCCTGGCCGAGAACGCAATTTTCAAAATAATGACCTCGTCTCCAACTCGACCAAGCCTTAAATGAATGCTGGACAAAATCCTGGGAAGTAAAGGCGCATCACCCACCAAGTGCCGATTGGTCTATAAAATCTAGATATATCCCTATATTCCTGAAGGCGGGGTAACTGATCCTTCACCTTTACACCAGATCATCTGAACCCAAGACCTTCACACCCACAAGCGAGCGTCCATCCGCTCCACCACGGCGGCTCCCATTATAAAAGTACTTTTAATTTCACCTCGGCTAGTACAGTCAAGTCCACATCTCCCAGTGTTGACTTTTCGCCAACAATTTCCCCTGGCAGAGATGTGGCGTCGTGGAGTGACGCCTGGATTACTCGTGTCGTCGGCAGCCTCAAAATCAATGGCTGGGGCCCTAGGAGCTCTTGCCTGTAATCCCCTGACTGCGCTACAGAAGTTTACTCGTTGGGAAATGTTGCCCGTCAGGAAATGTTAGCTGTTAGTGTTAACTAAACTGTTTCTCTGTATCCACACAAAACAACTGAGTGTCTTATTGTTGAAGCCATTTATGTATTGTTATTCTTCTTCTTCTTCTAAAAAAAAATAACATTTAGAAGGGGACGGGAGGGGTACGAAGAGGGGAAAAGAAAGGAGCAGGGAAAGAAAACAAGAAGGAGGAAAAGAACAACAATACCAAGTGGGGGAGATGGAGGACAGAGAGAGGGAAAGGTGGCCAGCATATTACAATGGGTATGATAAATAGGAAAATGGAGAAAAGAAAGGAGGAAGTGGAGGAGAAGAAGACGAAAATGAAAAAGAAGAAGAAAAGGAAGAAGGAAAAGAAGAAGAAGAAGAAGAAGAAGAAGAAGAAGAAGAAGAAGAAGAAGAAGAAGAAGAAGAAGAAGAAGAAGAAGAAGAAGGAAAAAGAAGAAGAAGAAGAAGAAGAAGAAGAAGAAGAAGAAGAAGAAGAAGAAGAAGAAGAAGAAGAAGAAGAAGAAGAAGAAGAGAAAAGTGGTGATGCTCATTGATGACGACAATGATAATTCTGGCGGTGGTTGTGGTGATGATGAAGATAATGGTGGTGGTGATGATGATAGTGATATTCATAAACGGAAGAAGGGCAGAAGTAAAGAACGAAGTGTTAGAGAACAACTAAAAGATTATATCTATGGAGAATTGCTGCTATCCTTCTCCATACCTATCCCAGTCTGTGACGACCTGTCGACTCCCCTAACCCTAATCCATAAAGACGTTTCCATTTAAACTGCGTTCTCATTTTAATTGTTTTAGTTCCCCCGTGTCTCAGGAGACGGGTGAGCCGTATAAGGGCACGCATCCTTGGATGTGTGTGAGTATTCCTGGTGGTTCTGTTCTCCACTGTGTCCTTGTGTCTTTGGGGTAATGTATCGTAGACCTTTGACAGGGACATTTTTAGAACCTGTGTCGGAAAAATGACCACTCTTGACCTAATCCCACTCAATGTGTCCTAATAGGTTAGTTGCGTGTCCTTTACAGGACGTTGCAGAACCAACTCCAACAGTCCCTGGCTGTTGTGTGGTTTTTCTAGGCAAATTTACGTCCAGTAGTTTGCCATTGCTTTTTGGACGGTCGACTTTCTTGATACCACTGTCGAAACCAACGCAAGGCGCATGGCCCGCAGCTGGGATCGAACCCGACATCCCGGCATTACGAAGCGTCGGCATCTATGTGTCTTAATACTGTACGTAAATTATACCATTCTCTGTACAAACTATACCACACTTCGTGTCAACTATAACATATTCCATGTAAACTGTACCATAATCCATGTCAACTCTTCTATACTCCGTGTCAGCTATACCAAACTCCGTGAAAATCATACCATACTCAATGTTGACTATACCATACTCCGTGTAAAGGGTACCAGACTCCGTGTCAGCTGCGCCATACTCCGTGTCAACTACACCGTACTCCGTGTAAACTATACCATACTTTGTGTCAACCATACCTATCCATGTCAGCTATTTCTTACTTCGTGTCAACCATACTCCGGAACCATACTCCGTCTAAAGTATACTATATTCCGTGTCAACTATACTATACTCCATGTAAACTATACCATACCCAATGTAAACTATACCATACTCCGTGTAAACTATGCCATACTCCATGTCAACAATACTATAATCCTTTTCAGCTCTACCATACCCTGTAAAACCTATACCACACTCCATATAATCTATACCATACGCTTGTAAACTATACCCTGATCGTATAAACTGTACCAGGTTTCGCATAAACTATACCGCGTTCAAAATAAACTTGTTTCCTTTCTGTATCTCTTCTGTTTAGGCTGGGCCTTCTCCTCTAGCGACATGGTGAGGTTACGAACCGACCTGCTCAGCAACTACAGCGTGGGAGTGCTGCCACTGCGCAACCAGAGCATATCGCTGTCGGTGAACATGTCCTTCTTCCTAATCATGATCCACAATCTGGTAGGTGGGGTCACGGTCCACGCTGTGTGTGTGTGTGTGTTTGTGTGTGTGTGTGTCTGTGTGTGAGTGTGTGTGTGTGTGTCTGTGAACATGTCCTTCTTTCTGATCATGATCCACAATCTGGTAGGTGGCGTCACAGTCCACGCTGTGTGTGTGTGTGTTTGTGTGTGTGTGTGTGTGTGTCTGTGAACATGTCCTTCTTTCTGATCATGATTCACAATCTGGTAGGTGGCGTCACGGTCCACGCTGTGTGTGTCTGTGTGTGAGTGTGTGTGTGTGTGTGTGAGCATGTCCTTCTTTCTGATCATGATTCACAATCTGGTAGGTGGCGTCACGGTCCTCGCTGTGTGTGTGTGTGTTTGTGTGTGTGTGTGTGTGTGTCTGTGAACATGTCATTCTTTCTGATCATGATTCACAATCTGGTAGGTGGCGTCACGGTCCACGCTGTGTGTGTCTGTGTGTGAGTGTGTGTGTGTCTGTGTCTGTGTGTGTGTGAACATGTCCTTCTTTCTGATCATGATTCACAATCTGGTAGGTGGCGTCACGGTCCACGCTGTGTGAGTGTATGTGTGTGTGTGTGTGTGTGTGTGTGTGTGTGTGTGTGAACATGTCCTTCTTTCTTTTCATGATTCACAATCTGGTAGGTGGCGTCACGGTCCACGCTGTGTGTGTGTGTGTGTGTTTGTATGTGTGTGTGTGTGTGTGTGTGTGTGTCTGTGAACATGTCCTTCTTTCTGATCATGATTCACAATCTGGTAGGTGGCGTCACGGTCCTCGCTGTGTGTGTGTGTGTTTGTGTGTGTGTGTGTGTGTGTGTGTGTGTGTGTGTGTGTGTGTGTGTGTGTGTGTGTGAACATGTCCTTCTTTCTTATCATGATTCACAATCTGGTAGGTGGCGTCACGGTCCACGCTGTGTTTGTGTGTGTGTGTGTGTGTGTGTGTGTGTGTGTGTGTGTGTGCGTGAGTGTGTGTGTGTGTGTCTGTGAACATGTCCTTCTACCTGAGCTTCTTCTTCTTCTCTTCCACCTTGTACCTCATCGGAGTGTCAGAGGGAGATGTAATGTTCGTTGATGAGCTCTGTCAAGAGCACTATTAAGACTGATGTTCATTTCTGTAAGGTTGTTCTTAATGCCATCACTCCATATTTTCCGAGGTCTTCCACTCGCTCTATACCCGTCGTAACGTTTTAGTGTGGCTCGCTGTGGCGGATAGTACCAGGGCATTCGTGTTAGGTGTCCAAACCACTTCAGTTGTTGTTCTTTGATGACCTGTAAGACTGACTTTATTCTTAGCATTCGTCTGATTTCATGATTTCGCATTCTGTCTTTTATTGAAACTCCTGCAGCTCTTCTAAGGCATTTCATCTCTGTTGTCACAATTTTACGTTCATTGTAGGATGTAAGTGTCCACGTTTGGCATTGATAGCATAGCGTTGGTCAAAAAATAGTTCTGATAAGATTCACTTTAGTACTCCAAGGTATCTGCTTGTGTGTCAACAGGGGAGATAATTGACCCATTACTTAATTAGCTGATGATGTACACAATTTGGTAGGTGACCCCACGGGGTGCACTGTGTGATTGTGCGCGTACGTGTATACACATTTATGTATATGGGCATGCGTGTGGGTATTTGTGTGCGTGTATATGCGTACGCATATAAATGTAGGTGAGTGGTGTGTTTATTTTTATTTATATGAGTGTATATACATGTATGTGTGTGTGCATGTATGTGCATGCATGTATGGAGGATTGAGTGGAATAGAATAATGGATTCGGTAATGAATGGTGTTAATGTGTGCGTGCATGTATTGACGATTGGATCAATTCGGGAATGAATGGTGTTAATGTGTGTGTGCATGTATAGACGATTGGATCAATTCGGGAATGAATGGTGTTAATGTGTGAGTGCATGTATAGATGATTGGATGGATTCGGGAATGAATGGTGTTAATGTGTGAGTGCATGTATAGACGATTGGATCAATTCGGGAATGAATGGTGTTAATGTGTGAGTGCATGTATAGACGATTGGATGGATTCGGGAATGAATGGTGTTAATGTGTGTGTGCATGTATAGACGATTAGATGGATTCGGGAATGAATGGTGTTAATGTGTGTGTGCATGTATAGACGATTGGATGGATTCGGGAATGAATGGTGTTAATGTGTGTGTGCATGTATAGACGATTGGATGGATTCGGGAATGAATGGTGTTAATGTGTGAGTGCATGTATAGACGATTGGATCAATTCGGGAATGAATGGTGTTAATGTATGAGTGCATGTATAGACGATTGGATGGATTCGGGAATGAATGGTGTTAATGTGTGTGTGCATGTATAGACGATTGGATGGATTCGGGAATGAATGGTGTTAATGTGTGTGTGCATATATAGACGATTGGATGGATTCGGGAATGAATGGTGTTAATGTGCGTGTGCATGTATAGACGATTGGGTGGGTTCGGGAATGAATGGTGTTAATGTGTGTGTGCATGTATAGACAATTGGGTGGATTCGGGAATGAATGGTGTTAATGTGTGTGTGCATGTATAGACAATTGGGTGGATTTGGGAATCAATGGTGTTAATGTGTGTGTGCATGTATAGACGATTGGATCAATTCGGGAATGAATGGTGTTAATGTGTGTGTGCATGTATAGACGATTGGGTGGATTCGGGAATGAATGGTGTTAATGTGTGCGTGCATGTATAGACAATTGGGTGGATTCGGAAATGAATGGTATTAATGTGCGCGAGCATGTATAGACGATTGGGTGGATTCGAGAATAAATGGTGTTAATGTGTGCGTGCACGTCTGTACCGCCATCACCATTATAATTATTGCCAACGACCATCATCATCAACACAGTTTTTACTACCATAATCACAATCATCATGTGCCTTATTACCATCATCATCATTGCTTTTACCATCATCATTATCATATTTTACTAACATCACTGTCTTCATAATTATTACTACCATCAGCATTAAAATATTTACACACACATACACACACATACACATATATATATATGCTATAAACCCATTTTATGAATTTTATTTTTTAGAACATAAAACTAACAAATATGTCAGAGATAAAATATACAAATTTGCGGGACATCAGGAGCCTCTCTTGACAGTGGTGAAACGTCGCAAGCTAGCTTGGTTTGGGCTTTTCGACTTTTTGGCTGCACTGAGTCTGACCGAGAGGACCCGGCAGTGACGGAGTGAGGGTTGGGCGGGCGGGGGGGGGGGGGGGGGGGGGGGGGTCTGACTTGCTTAGGATGTCCCAATGTCAGCTCAAAATATTGTAAAAACAAATAGAGAGAACAACATAGACACAGATAGTACAACTGTAACTACTTACATTTTAACTGTTGAATGTCAAATATGTATCTACATAATTAACTTAAAATTAGTGAGTAAACTTAACCAGGATATTATCCTTGTCCACCCAGTATATTTGCAATATTATCCCTGGCTACCCAAGATATTAGCAATATTATCCCTGTCCATCCAGGATATTCGCAATATTATCCCTGTCCACACAGGATATTCGCAATATTATCCCTGTCCACACAGGATATTCGCAATATTATCCCTGTCCACACAGGATATTCGCAATATTATCCCTGTCCACACAGGATATTCGCAATATTATCCCTGTCCACACAGGATATTCGCAATATTATCCCTGTCCACACAGGATATTCGCAATATTATCCCTGTCCACACAGGATATTCGCAATATTATCCCTGTCCACACAGGATATTCGCAGTATTCTTCTTGTCCACCCAGGATATTCTCAGTACTCTTCTTGCCCACCAGAATATTTACAGTATTCTTCTTGTCAGTAGACTACCTCTGCATGTGAAAAATGCATTAGCAAAGCGCTGTCTGAAGCAAAAAACTTGGCAACTCAAAATTATGCCGTGCCAAGTTTCCCCATTTCAGACCGGAAGACAATTATAACTTTTTTTGGAGGTTGAACGCGTCATCTAGGATCTGCCTTGTAGATCTGCCATACAGACTGAGCATTTTTTATCTACGGATTGTGTGGTAAACCTTTAGGTAGGTGCCTGGAGAGGACAAACTGATCGATCAATTGAAAGTACGTGAGCCTGTATTCAGAAGTAACCTGTTTGTTGTTTCAGAACATGAAGAACCAGATCATGACTGCCAGCGGCTGGCTAAAGTTTGTGAGTATTTCCACATAGACGCATCCACAGTTGTAGGTACACGAACCTTCTTCTTCCTCCTCCTCTTCATTTTCTTCTTCTGCTCCTCCTCCTCCTCCTCTCACCCTTTCTTCTTCTTTGTTCACCAGTTGTAAGCTCCAGCGGACATTTAGGCTTTTGGCTTTGAGCCAGGGCCTGAGTTTTGCATGTTCCTTCAGTTTAGTGACTTTTTTGTGTTTAGCTGGTTGTTCATTGGATCTGTTGTCTCAGGTGCCAATTTGATTGTGCACGGGGCTGATTCGCCAGTCTTAAACTGTGACTACATGTGGCTGTGAAGCCGATTGTTCCCTGTTCTTATGCGTAGAATAATACATGTAATTTGCTCTGATCTTATTTATTATATGGTCATCGTCTTGGGCCAGATTTGGTGGCTTTCAGATTGATTTGATTCCTATCTTCCTCTGTTGAAAGTAGAAAAGTACATCAGGATGTTCTTCATTTGCAGCTTTCTTATCTAGTTTATCGGCTCTCTCATTTCCGGGAACTCTACAGTGGGATGGTAACCATTGCATAGATACTTTACAGTGGTTGCCTAGTTTGTAGAGTAATGTCTGTAGACCTGGTAATTTTCCAGACTGCATTGCCTGAAGTGTCGCTCTTGTATCTGTCAGGAATACTATGGGTTGTGAAATATCATTGGTATTTATCAGTTTCTGCGCTGCTATCTTGATGGCTTCAACTTCTGCATCACAGTTGTAACAGTGCTTATGATATCTGTAAACACATGCCTGAGAAGAACGTCCATATGCCATATATGATACCAGAAGGAGAAGAGGAGGGGGGGGGGAAAGACAGTGCTCCCTACATATTATCAGCAGTAGGAGCCGTGATTGGAGATGGAGTCAAGGTTGCTGATCTATAAGATCCTGGCGCCTTTGGCCACCACTGCTCCTTGCGTCAAGTACATACGGCTGTGGACGTCTCTTTAATACGTGGCTTTTTCAATTATATCCATATTCTTCCAGCTGACATGTTTTCACACTTGGGCGAGGTTTCTTCACTTAACGCGCTCAACCGCTGAGTTCCCAGGCGGACGTCAAGAGTTGACGTTTGCGCCTAAGTTTTGTTGGTTATGGGAGGCGCCGTGGCGCAGTGGTTAGACGTTTGTCTGTCGGCCCGAAAATAGTTGGTCGAATCCACATAATTATCATCAGGTCTTTTAGAGAACGTAGCTCTCCTCGGGCCAGCCTGACGGTCTCTCTTTCTCCAGCCAATTCTCCAAGCATATAATGCCAATGTATCTTTTGTTTCTTCTATCCACATTCGCATAGGTAGGCCTGTGCCTCGTTTTCAGAAACTACACCACTGTCAGATCGAATCCAAACGTGACGTGTTTTACAATCGACTTTAGCTCCCAAATCATCATTATCATCATCGTCCTGTCGTGGTATAATATGTTTGTTACATAGGGCTTCCAGTCTAGTCATTCTATTCTGTCCTGTGCAATCCTTTCGATATCATAGAAGGAATCCAGTCCAGATCCTTTGGCTTCTCGCAAAAACGTTCGAATTTAGGTTTCTCTTCGACGTCCTCATTTGCTTTTCTATTTGTTTCCATTTCAATACCTATTTATTTTCTTCTCTATACGTATCCTCGTTTTTGCAGGTGACATATAGTAGACATAGAAAAGGACGAACAAATAGCAGGCATGCTGATGTAGAGCAGGATCGCAGACAGACAGACAGACAGACAGACAAAGACACATAAAACGAACGGGCGAACCAATGAACGAACTTTATTTTTAAATGTTTGAGAACTAGGCAGGCAGGCCCTTCTAACGTGCTTCCTTTTTGACCTCACTGCTTTCACACAATATTTCCTTTATGCCTGTGTGTTGGGAAATGAACAGGCATATAGATTTGCCGGTTCTGCACCACTTGGTGGTGAACTGATGTATGACAAGCTAGAGGTTGTGAGGGTCCTTTGGGAGCGAGTGAACAGTGCAGAGGCACATATAGATCTTTAAGGCGCTGGAAAAGTTACCATGGGATCTGGCGACGCTCAACACTCAGGGAAAGGGCGAGACAGATTTACAATCAGACAGGTACTAGTACCATCGGAACTGGAACTCTTCGCTTGCTGCTGAAGATGGGGGACGGAACGCTTATGGGAGTGCTGTGATTTCGAGTCTTAATTTAACATTCAACATTCATTCATACATCATTTAAAAATAATGAAAGAAAGACCTGGTTGTTCGTCCGTTTCTGCTCTTTGTCATTGTTCCAGGACTTGAGTTTTGCGTGTGCATCAGTTTTACATATCTATGCAGTCTGTTGCTTCCTTACCTATCAGACAGAAGCATTTTAATATGTAGTAATAAAAACAACTAACAACAAGTAAATGTTTATTTCAAGCCCTAGGATGTGCTCGAAATATACCTATATTTCTAAATGATCATCATCATCATCATCATCATCATCATAATTAGGTGCCTTGCCAGCTGGCGTAGGCGTTCATGCGTCGCTACATATCTCAGTCTTTTGTGTTCTGGATCGATTCTACTGAAATATTCCTCCATGCCACTGTCTTAAGCCATCCACCATCGTTACTCATGGTCTGCCTCTGCCTCTTCTACCAGTGATCTTTGCAGTCGTCTTGATATTTTCCAGGCCCTCCTTTTCTCATCACATGACCAAAGATAGAGGATAATAGTTCCTAGTATTATTTCCTAATAATTATAATACATGGAGAGTAAACATTCCAGGTGCTTAGCTTAGAAAGACAACAAGCAGACAGATCGAAAGAGGGATAGCAGAAAGACTGACAGACACGAATAAACTGTTAACAATCTCTCCCCAGGAATGGTGCGATGAGTTCCTACAGTGGAGCCCCAACACGTACGGAGGTATAGATGAGCTTATACTGTTCCAAAAAGACGTTTGGCTTCCGGACATTTTCGTAGAGAACACGTAAGCTCGTTATCTCCTAGAAACTTGATCAAATTAACGCCAAAATGGAAACTTTCCCCTCCACGGAAAAGTGGCCAAATTGGCCTTCTGTTTTATTTATGTATTGATCGAAAAATGTTGGTAATTAAACGTTTTGGCTTACTTTGTTTACACCATACAATATGTTTGTATATGGGGTCGTTTTTTCCCTGCTGGCCAGACAATCGCCACCTTCGAGGACAACTTTAGATGGATCTACATATAATCCGGGAGTCACCGTGGCGTTGCGGCTAGACGCTCGCGTGCGGATCGGAAGGTCGTGGGTTCGCTTCCTGGCGGAGCCAGACTTTTTTTCAAAAATGACCTGGACTGGACTCCTGGGTCGACCCAGCCTTGAGTGGGTACCGGATGTAGTCGTGGGAAGTAAAGCCAGCCGGCGTGATGCTGATTGGTCTATAAAAATATTGGCTAAATGCCCTATATGCCTAAAGGCGTGGGAAGAGGACCAATACTTTTTTTTAAAACACATAATGCACATATTTTTCTTTATTATTGTGAGTGCATTACTCGTCTTTCCTGATTTTTATTTATTTTCGTTAACTGTCCTTAGTGTGTTTATTCTATACTTCTTGCCTCTTTAAGTATTGCATACTACTACCAGAAGTAACACAACTACTAATACTACTGCTACTTTTGTTGTTGCTGCTACTACTACCTCTCCTCCTACCTCTAATGCTGCTGCAGCTGCAACAACACCATCAACAGTAACAATGAATGCTGCTACTTCTACCTCTACTGCTGCTGCTACTACTACCTCTTCTTCTACCTCTACTGCTGCTGCTCGTGCAGCGACAACAACACTTATTACTACTGTGCTAGTGGGAAGAAGGAAAATGAAAAACTAGGAAGTAGGGAGATGAGGACAGTAAAATTGTGTAAGGACAGTAAGTAGTAGTTCTTCTCTGAACAGCAAGGGGCCACGGAGTAAGATCAAACCATGGCAAAGGATATGTGAACAATGAGCTACACAACAACAACAACAACACATTTCTCAATAGGCAATGCCTAGACAGACCACATGCACACACTATAGGCATTATATCTCGAATCAAGCAGCAGAATTATAATCATCGCATTGAACATCTGTTAATTTTCCTAAACACAAAACTAACGTTGCTTCGCAGATAACACTATATTACCAACCATCAACCTGCTCGACAAGACCATGTACTACTCATTACAAGGAAATATGATAATAAACGCGTACGTTTATAAAAAAAAATTTCATCAATAATAGCAAAAATTAAAACATTTAGGCTTCAACACACCACCAGATCAATAAATCACCTCCAGCGATCTGCAATCAAACTATCTCCAAGTGAGGGTACACAATAGAAATCTAGGTCTAACATAAAATCTAACTACTAAAGAAAAATTCAATGATGGAAATTTAAATCTAGCACTATGTAACTAATGAATTGAACTACCACCGTTATCAAGTCAACGTGCCAACCTATCCCTTGAATGTCCCCTCTCTCTAGGGCGACCAGTAGTTCCAGAGCCCGAAAGCTACGAGCAAAAACTTCCTATCTCGTCCTTTGTTGCTCTCACCACCTGCCAGATTTATTTCGCAAGTACAGTCCAGCTAAAATAGTCAAAAGCTTTTGGCACCCTGCCACACTACAACGACTACTACTACTGCTGCTGCTTCTACCTCTAATTCTGCTGCAGCTGCAACAACAGCATCAAGAATAACAACAACTACTACTACTTCTACCTCACCTGCTGCTGCCTAAGCAACAACAACAATTACCACTACTACTACTACTACTACTACTACTACTACTACTACTACTACTACTACTACTACTACTACTACTACTACTACTACTACTACTCCTCCTCCTCCTCCTCCTACTACTACTACTACTACTACTACTACTACTACTACTACTACTACTACTACTACTACTACTACTACTACTGGTACTGCTGCTAATACTACTTACACAAGAACAATAACAACAACAATTACTTGTGCAACAATAAAAACAACAACTACTACTACAGCTACTACTACTTCTGCTGCTGCTAGAACAACTACTTCCTCAAATACTATTAACACTATTGTTGCTGCTGCTGTTACTACCACTGCTGCAGCGGCTGTTACTACTATTACTGCTGCTCTTTCATCACTACTACTGATCGCTTCTGTTCTACTGATCTAGTTTTTTTATCGAATTAATCTATCAGCACCAAGATGAAACATCACATAGCGTTCTAAATGCTGTTTCTCTAATCCTACTCCTGTAAATCCCTAATTGGTGGGAAATGTGATGGGTTAAGGGTCAGTGACGAGTTAACTGAGGAAAGCGTGTACGGAGTAAGCTTGTGATTTCTTTTGTGCGAGTAAGTAACTAAGTGGAGAAAATTGTGGACGGCAAGAAAGGGTTGAACGTGAGGAAGCACGAAGATCAGTTGGTGTTTGACAGCACAAGGAAAGGTCGGGTCGAGTGAGAAGGGTGTCTGCCATAAACTGTGATAGCTGACAGCAGAATCGAGTCTCTAGTACGCTATGAAAGTGGCTGAGCCAGGAGTCACTCAATGTTGAACGATCGTGTGGTCGAAAATGGTTGTTGTGCTGTTCCTCAGAGACCAACCAGCACCAGTGTAAATAGAACTTGCAGATTCCCTGGTAACAAGTCGATTATCAGAGCTGCTGATCCGAAGTTATAGCAGTTGTGGCAGATTCCCAGATCTGAAGTGGAGGCAGTTGTGGCAGATTACCAGATCCGAAGTGGTCGCAGTTGTGGCAGATTACCAGATCCGAAGTGGTGGCAGTTGTGGCAGATTCCACGATCCGAAGTGGTCGCAGTGTGGCAGATTCCCAGATCCGAAGTTGTGGCAGATTCCTAGATCCGAAGTGGTGGCAGCTGTAATAGATTCCCCAGGATAAGGAGTGATGACTAAGGACAACTAGGAACCGACGCGACTTTTGCAACAGCAAAAACTTTTGGTTGTAAATTCAGTGTTGCCATCTAGAGTGATTGCTGTATAACCTAACTGGTTGGAAGGGAGGTTACTGTAGATCAGAAAAAAAGTCAAGTAGCCACAATACAGCATCGTTTTCCTAACCTTCTTCTTCTCGATTTCTTCGTACAGTTATTACAAAAGAGGAAGTAAGTCTTCATTTAAAAAATGCATTTCAACCTTCTGTAATTTCTGTTTCAACCATCTGTTCTTTGCAATGTAATCACATGGCATGAAATAGAACTGCCACCCGATATTTAGAATCCCACAACTGGACAGCAGTATTACTTATAAAAAAAATCTGAAAGGTGATCACGGGTCGCCCCCGCCTGCCTGAACGACATTCAAAGATGCCAATCGCATATTCTTGTACAATAAATAAATCGAACCGACGGGTAGGACTAATCCACCGTACACGTAGTGACGTTATGTAAAAGGTTATGGGCACTTTTAGCGGTTTACGAGAAGTATCCAATTATGCGATACGATCGTGGGATTATGGGATTACACCTCTGGTGTGTGATGGCGCTACATGGTACACTCAAGGCGGCTTGGGGATTTTTTTTTTTTTTTTTTGCTTAGCGTTCAGGGGAGCTGCGTGATCTTGAGGCATGGTGGCCGCCTCGAGTGCTGGAGGTAATGGCTAGGATGTTTTCACATGAACTTGGCACTTCTAATAATTCCCCTTGGTCTCTAGTGAGATCGGATGCCCGTGCTTATTGTAGCACACGTAGAAACATTCCGTGGCAGTTGGAAATCGAAAAGAGTAGCCTAACGGTGCTGCCCGGGAAAAATTTGGAGTTAAAAATCTACCCAAAGTATTTCATTATCCTTGCTGGTGCTACAGAGCCTGTGTACTGTACTGAGGTTCTTCGGACTTGAGTTAGAAGTAGAACGTAGCACTTATGGGTTACTACCCGTGTGTCATAATGTTGATCTGTTGTTCAAACTTCAATCTAAGCGTTCCTTATCACGACGGCTCCGTAACACAGCGTATAATTGGGTCACCAGTTGCTGTTAACTGTCTGACCAGCTGCGTCCACTTTTGACAGTCAGATGCAACAGACGTCATGGTTACATGCCAGAGGCCTGTCCAGTCCAACCACTGTAAACTCTGCCCACTTCTAGACTTCGGTCATGTTCTAGAATTTGAGTTTTGCTGGTACACCTGCTTTTAGACATTTGGCTCATTCGTATGTAGACTGTTGTTTCTTTGCCTCTCACGCTGATGCCCTCTGACTTCAAAGAAAAGTCACCATTTAGTCGCCTTGTACGACATGCTCGTTAGATACACAGTGGTGTAGACATTTCTCTCACACACCCAAACAACCCTCCACCAACCAACCAACCCATCAAGTAATTACTTAGTCACGCAAGCCAACTACCAATCCTTAATGTTTAATTAAAAATCGAAACCACATCACTTTGGACATTCCCATAAGCGCTCCGTCCCTAACTCCAGCAGCAAGCGCAGCGTTCCAATTCCAGCGGTACCAATTGTAGCCTGATTGAAAATACGTCTCACCTTTCACTTGAGTGCTGATCGTCTACCAAAACCTCCACCAACCTCAGACAACTCTCCACCAACCTCAGCCAACCCCCCACCAACCTTAACCAACCTCAGCCAACCTTCCACAAACCTCAGCCAACCCTCCACCAACCTTAGCCAATCCTCTACCAACCTCAGCAAACCCTCCCCCAACCTTAACCAACCTAAGCCAACCCTCCACCAACCTTAGCCAACCCTCCACCAACCTCAGCCAACCCTCCACCAACCTCAGCCACTCTCCACCAACCTCAGTCAACCCTCCACCAACCTCAGCCAACCCTCCAGTAACCTTAGCCAAACCTCCACCAATCTCAACCAACCCTCCACCAACCTCATCCAACCCTCCACTAACCTTAGCCTACCCCCCACCAACCTCAGCCAACCTTCCACAAACCGGTAGCCAAACTTCCACCAACATTAACCAACCCTCCACCAACCTCAGCCAACCCTCCACCAACCTTAACCAACCCTCCACCAACCTCAGCCAACCCTCCACCACCTTAACAACCCTCCACCAACCTCAGCAAACCCTTCACCAACCACAGCCAACCCTCAACCAACCTCAGCTAACCCTCCACCAACCCTCAGCCAAACCTTCACCAACCTCACCCAACCCTTCACCAACCTTAGCCCTCAGCTAACCCTCCACCAACCCTCAGCCAAACCTCCACCAACCTTAGACAACCCTTCACCAACCTCAGCCTAGCCTCCACCAACCTCAGCCAACCCTCCACCAACCCTTAGCCAACCCTCCACCAACATTAACACAACCTCAGCCAAGCCTCCACCAACATTAACCAACCGTCCACCAACCTCAGCCAACCCTCCACCAGCCCCAGCCAAGCCTCCACCAACCTCAACCAGCCCTCCCAAACCTCAGCCAACCCATCACCAACCTCAGCCAACCCTCCACCAACCTCAACCAACCCTCCACCAGCCACCTAACCGACGTTGACGCCTGTATCTCCTCTACTGACTTCCAGGGCCCAGCACTACCGAGAACTGGGCAACAACCAGATGTTGATCAGCGTCAAAAGCTCGGGAATGGTTCACTGGGAACCAGGCATCATCACGGAGACTAGCTGTGCTGTCAACATCGGCAAATACCCTTTCGACACGCAGGTGTGCGACATCCGCTTCCTCACCTGGATGCACACGAATAAGTAAGTGCGTGCACGAGCTTTTATATTCGTTTTTGTGGTTTTAGATCTGGATGCTGTTGCTGTTACTATTGCTGTTGTTGTGTTACACTTTCGGTACCAAGATATTCATTTATTATTGTCATCATCATGTAACAGGTCCTAGGCGGTTCATCGCTATATAGGTATCCTGTTTCGTCCTTTTTAGGACGAAATTTTTTGTTATTTGAAGCCCCACCCTGGCTTTTGCCAGGGGCCGCAATATAGGCAGGCCATAAATATGGCCATTTGTCTGAACGCGGTTTCTGGGACCTCTCCACGGCGATCCTCATCCACATGGTGGCACTTTGTGTCATCGGGTGTTTATCGCTTGTGTGATGTCCTATTGGGGTAGACAGTCAGTCAGTCGGTACATCGCTCTCATCATTCTAGTGTCTGTAACTGCCACCTGGCTTCTAATGCTGTCTGGTGCTACGGTTTGATCATCGACTCCAGCATCTTAGTAATGTGTCTACCAAATGTGTCTCTGTTAACCTTGGATCCATGTGTCTTGACCGTTGTCTCTGTAGCTCGATGTCTGGTTTTATGTCTCCTCTCTAATGACTGTCTTTGAGGCTCGATGTGACTGGTTCCTCTCCTTCTGGTGTTGTGCTGGCATCTATACAACTGAATGTTCTCGTCTATGAGTGTCAATGCGACTAGTCCCTCTTCTTCTAATTTTCGTAGACTAAAGTTTTAAGATTCTCTTCTTTGATGGTCTTTTTTTTTTACTTGTCCTTCTTCTTCTGTCTTGAAGACTGAAGGTTACCTAGTGGTTTCTTACCCACTATTTATTCTGAGATGCTGGAGTGCGTGGTATGTGTTTTTCTACTCACTTCTAGAAGTTTCTTGTATGCTAAAACTTGTTTACTATGTGCGTTCTCGCGTGGGATTTTCTAATTACACCTCAATTTAATCAGAGACTTCTGCACCAAAATACGCCAATTGACAGTTGGTCTTCTGGGGTCTTGGGTCTTACACAGTGTTGCCACTTTGGATGTTTTACATCCAGATTTAGATATTTTCCCTTGCATTTAGATGGTGTTTTTGACGTTTCGATGGTAGATGTTTGTCTAAATGTTTTTCATTTGGAGTTAGATATTTTATAAATTTTTTTTCTTTCAGTTTCAGTTTAATATTTTCTGTGTAAAATATTAACTACAATATTTTTGTACGTGCATTGTGACAATTGCGATTACCTAAACTTTAAACTCTCACTGGGGTCAACGCTCAAATATCTGGCAACCCCGGTACCTATTAATTAAAAGCGCTCGTAAATCATACTGTGTTTCAACCGTGTTCTCACTGTGCTGACTTTGTGTTTCTTTTTCACGTGATTTAAAAAAAAAAAAGTAATCGCTAACCTTCATATGTGTTTTTCACTTTGAAAAAACCTTTTAACATGCCAAAAGTAAAGTATAAGCAACAATTTCGGAAAGAATGGCTGCATGATCATGAAATCAAAAACTGAGTGATGGCAGTTCCTGGGGATATGACCAAGTACTACAAGTGTGAAATTATTGCAAAAATACAAAACTTAAAGAGGCATGCAGAAACTAAAAAGTATAAAACTGCAGTTCCATTCAAAGATATTACACCGCTTACATCTGTTTTCAGATGTACACTGATAATTGAATCATCAAAAGAAGAAGGATCGGTTTTAATGTTTTTAAGTTGTCATTGTGCAGCTTCAGACTGAGACTATTTGATTGATTTGTTTCAAAATAATATTTCTGACAGTACATTTATGGATGATGTGAAAATGCATCGCAGCAAGTGTACACTTATTATAAGAAATAATTAATTTTCTCACTTCGAAAAAGATTTGATCAGTGATATTTCTACAAATAATTATCGTTTTATATTAGACGAATCAAATCATATTTCGGTACTGAAAGTGCTTGGTGTGTGTATAATGTATTGCAGCAACAATAAAGACAAAGTAGTTTCTACATATCTTGGACTAGTTCAATTGGAAAAGTGTGATGCAGAAAGTATAGTTCAGGAACTGAAGAAACTTTTAATCAGCAAACAGTTAGACTGGAAAAATCTGGCTGCAATTGGTACCGATAATGCCTTGGTGATGGTTGGTATAAACGATGGCGTTTATGCCAAGTTGAAGGCAGCTATCCCATCGTTAATACTTAGAAAATGTATGTGTCATTCATTGCAGCTAGCATTATCACATGCTTCATCTGAATGTTTACCAAGGAATTTGGAATACCTTATTGCTGAAACGCATAAATAGTTTTCCAAATCATTTATCAGACAACAGCAATACAATACATTATATACAGCCTTGAATGATGGTTTCACTCAACTGAAAATTCTCATACTACCCCACTCAAATGTTGACGTAGAAAGAGTTTTCAGTGCTATGAATTTTATCAAATCTTGACAATAAAATTCGGCCTGACGAGAGTTTGAAAATGCTGTTCCACTTATCAGCACCCTGATGATGTATTAAAAGAAATTGGAACAGCTAACGCATACCAGAGTTCTTTTGAATCTGAAGCTTCAACTTCAATTAACGTTTGTTTAACATCTGCTCAGATTTATCGTTTAAACAAAAAAAGGGGGGGGGGGGAGGGGCGAATTTTATAACAAAATGAATGAGCTTTGTTAGACCCAACCAGAACCGCACAATGAGCGACAAACATTCGGTGACACAAACTGCCACCATTCGGATAATAATTCCACCGGGCAAAGTCCCAACAATTCTGTTTAACAATTAGGTAATATTTAGGGTCCAAAGACGACAGCCGGGGCGAGGCTTTAAAATAACAAAACAAATTTGCCCCATATTGGGCGGAGCTGATTTTAACAGTAACACCTTCTGGCGGCAGTAATTTAAACAACGATTAACTCTTCAATCTATGTGAGTTGTGATTGGTATATTCAGAGGTTTTTCCCCATTTCAGAATTGGATTTTACTATTTCGTTAATTTATCTTTCTGTTTCTAGGTTACATGTCAATATAGAAATGATCTCTGTTGTTTATATGGTTCTCATAGACTTGCACATTGCCAGATGCTACTCGCGAAGGAAATCCTAAAATTTCAAATTGTCCTGGCGGCTTTTAAACCACTATGAATGCACTGCCTTTCCCGGCGCCTAGTAAAAATACATGAGAATGGAAACTGAAGGGGGAAACAAAACATAAATAAATAACAAAAATGGGAGCGCTGAGGATAGGGAAATTTACGAGGCTCAGGTTAGGGCTGTAAAGGGAAATGTGAGTTCGGGTTGGGGGCGATGAGGAACTAATTTTCGTCTCGCTTCTGGATCTGATGTGTTGTCTAATCCGTGAGTTATTTGCGTGTTTGTTATGCATGGAATTATTTCAGCAGTAAGCGATTAGACCATTGCTACACGAATTTCTGTATCGTTGCCCAGGAAAATTCATTCATTTCTCAGTACGATCCAGATGGAGACTGTGCTTACATAGTTGCTCATGCATCATGCCGGTGGGGGATTTTTTTTTTCAAAGAAAACACAGAGTGTAATGCACCCTGGCATATTAGAATATGACCTTTCATCTTCCTGTGTACAGACTAAACCAGTGGTGGGCGAACTATGGTTCTCAGGCCAAAACTGGCCCACCGAACAATTTTTACTGGCCCACGACGCTGGTGTAAAAGTACTATATAATCTGAGCCTTGATCATAAAAAATAGCAATACACAAATACATACTTTCCTATGCAGAAGAAAACAATGCAAATATCGACATCCAAAAAAGTGATAACCTAAAGAGTGATAACCAGAAACTGATGTCACCATATCTTTGATCCTGCTAGTAAAACGTTACAGACAAACACAGGATAGGCATAAAAGAATCTGCTGCCTGTGATTGTGGAGCAGAAAGACAGACCCCTGAGCACATACTACAGTACTGCCCTTACCTCTCCCAGCAAAGACTGTGGATCTGGCCCAGGGGATCCACATTGCGAGAGAAGCTATGGGAGACCGGTGGCGACCTTAAACGCACAATCCTATTTTTGACCCAGACGGGACTCAATGTGTAGCATGACTGATGTCGAACGCAGAAGAAGAAGAAGAAGACAAACACAGACCTTAGGAGACAGTCTCTTTCGACTGACTTTGATAGTAAAATATAAGGCCACCACAGTATTTTTCTCTGATCGGCAAGTTTATAGATTACAGAAGTATAGTACCCCACACAAACATCATGTTACGAGAAAACCTGGGTGTTACGTTTATAATATATTATTTTGTTACTGCTAGGCCCTACCCAGTATGATAACTCTAAATTTGGCCCATCGGTGACTGGGTCGCCCATTGGCTGGCCGGTGGACGGCTTCGTCGTCGGTCGGGTCAGTATTTGGGTCTGTCTTTTTTGGTGGCATCAACTCTCCAGGAGTCCTTTTCCGGGCTACTTGATCAGCAATGCTAAGCAGGATGTCAGCATATGTATTAAAAATTTTCTATAGCATTTCCTCTCAAAAGTTAATATTTTATTCCAGAATGAGTGCGTGGTACTCCCCGACTCACCTCAGTATGTTGTTACGTGGAAGAAGCGTGTTAGGACTTTTTCACATGGATTTCAAATAATTTCCCCTGGCCTGTGTGTAGTAAGATTGGACGCCCGTGTGTATTGTTGCGCACGTGCCCCAAAAAAATTCATTAGCAGTTGAAAAAAAGAGTAGTCTAACGGCGCTTCACCGGCAAAATTTGAAATTGAATATCTATCCAAAGTTTTTCAGGATTCTCGCTGGTGCTACAGACTTCGTGTACTGCAGTGAGAATCTTTGGACTCGGGCTTGAGTTAGAATAGAACGGAGCACTCATGGGTTACCCCTTGTGCCATGATGTTGATCCGTTGTCTAAACCTAAACCTAAAAACCAAGCGGGCTGTGATTTCCGTGCTGATTCAGTTTGCCACTTCAGAATTCTCTTTCTCGCGAAGACTGACAATTGACAGCTCAGAGCTTGTTTCTGCAGCCAGGAGAGCTCTTTCATGTCT